GAGCTGGGCCTCGCTGCCTCCCCCGAAAGCGACACCTTCTCCCCGGGCCGGACAGCCGCCGAGGCTGCCCCCGAGGGCCACCCTGGGGCCTGCTGCCCGAGCCGGGCACAGCTGGCTGCCAGCGCGGAAACGGCTGGGTTAAAACTGAAAATAACTAACTGGAAAGTTGTGGGTTTCTGTGTTTTGAAGTAACTCCCTCTCCTTTCATCCTTTTCTCCTTTCTCAGGTCTTCAGAGGAGCACATCAGCCATGTCTATCACCTGCTGATGACACGGCTCAAGGAGGAGCACGCCGAGATGCGCTTCTCGGCTTTCCAGATCGTGCAGGAGTTGTTCGCCCGATCCCATCAGTTCCGGACGCTAATTATTTCCGACTTCCAAGAGTTCTTGGAGCTGACGGTGGGGATAGACCATGAGCAGCCTCTTCCCCCACCCAAAGAGGTGGCACAGAAACTGAGGAAAGAAGCCATTAAGTCAGTGCAAGACTGGCATGAGAAATACGGAGAGGCCTACAAGAAGCTTTCTCTGGGATACCACTTCTTAAAGCAGAATAAGAAGGTACTCTGCATCTTTACTTCTGTGTCTTTTTTTAGGTGATGATCTCTAGGAGGTGTTTAAAGGCAGGAAACCAATACATAGAAAAGGAAAGCTGTTGGAAATGACAGGTGTCTTTAGGAGACATCCTGTTGAGCATGGTCTTTGAAAGTCAAACCCCAAATATTTTGTTTTGTGGTATTGTAAAGCTTTAAAAACTCCAGGCTTGTACTGAGAGCTGGTCTCAACTAGCCTTTTCGCAGGCTGCAGAAAGTATTGCTTAGCAGTAGGTTTTCACCCACTGATTTCTACCTGAAACCCCAAAGTCTAGGCTTTTTAGAAGGGGAAGTATTGGTTATACCTTGAACTGAGAATAATCAGCTATGAAGTCTTTCTATGCCAGTTTAAACTAGTGCGATTTCTCTACTGAGCTCTCTGGTTCTAGCTTCATTTCACTGTACAATAGAGACGATAAGCGTAGGTTATCGTCATAGGTGCTACCTTCCTGCAGCTGCAGTGTTGGTGTGTCATACAAGAAGTTGTATTAAGAAGAAATTTTATGTATGTAAACACTTCCTTTTAAATCTCCCTTCTAGGCTTCAAGTTATGTTTGGAACATTATTCTGCTTTACTATCTCTCCTGAGGTGCAAACAGTGAAATTGGGAGCACTATTCTAGCATTCACACTATCTACAACAATAATATCAGGCTTTCAATAAACATTGATTCTTTTTCTCTTCAGAAAGACAGATGTTCAGTGTTCTTAACAGAAGATCAAAAACTTTTTTGATACATGATGTATTTCTGTTCTAGTTCCATACTAAGCTAATAGTGTACCCTGCTTATATATTTACTGTACTATGCTCTATTTATATATAATTTTTGGCACCTGCTCACAAAAAGTAATTATCTTTGAATCCTTCCTTCTTGTCTCGTTTAATAAAAAAACCACTAAGTGAAAGTGACAAGGAAAAATGCAAGGCTGGGACAAGGGGGCTTTAACACCTAATACAGTTTTGCCAGATTGAAGATGTAGATGTAACAAGTCTATTTAAGTCTGGCATGCCTGTCTGCTCCTGTGGTTAATGGCTGCTACCCAGTTACGACTGAGTGGTCATTTTTTGTATATTTGTGATACTAAGCTACCCAGCAAGGTTTCCTGTACTGTTTTCCAGAACAGCTGAATTTGCATACTTCTGGAAACATCAGCACCAGTAGAAACAATCTTACGTAGTTTGATAACTCTTGCACTTAAAGAGTTAAGCCAGCTGACCTACCTGGCGTTTTGCCAGTTTAATACTTGAAGTGTGAGAAAAACCAAAATATTTGAGGAGGCATTTATACTTTCTAGTAGTAAAGTACATCTGCTGTTCTTTGTTGCAGGTTTGGCACAGTAGTATAGAGCAACTTGAGAGGAGTGTTGTGTGTGTGGTTTGTGGTTCTTGGGTTGTTTGCTCTTTTTATTGTCACCAAAATCACCGTATAAACAGTTGGTCAGATGGCAACTGCTGCCCTTTTAGAGTGTAAACATGGAGAGCTGTTTTAATGTTAGTAGGTCCATATTAGTAGGTACCTATATAAATGTTTGACTTCAAGGAGAAATAGTATTTCAGTATATGTGAAAATGATTGTTTTCAAACTCATGTCTCAAAGTGTTAAAAAAGAAGAAATGAGAGGGGAAAAAAACAGATTATGACTATTTCCAAATGTTTGCCTATTTATGCAACTGAGTCACATTATATTATCTTTGCATTTGAGGAAAACATGGATGGAATTAGAGAGTGAGCTGCAATTACAAGAGTGAACAGGATTTTGAGCAGCTCAATACAGTATCTTATTGCTGTGCTTCAGTATTTTCCCAAAAATTTCAGTAGTTGTCCAGGCCTGCTACTCACACCCTTTGAATCAAGAGCAACTGCTGGCACATCATCGCATCCAGTTCCACGATTACAGACCAGTGCTAAAAGGCTTCGTGTAGCCTGTATCACCCAGATGAGGCTGGGTGGGTTCTGACCAAGTCTGTGAGTTAGTGCAGACCCCAGGTAGCAGGCGAGCCCATGCACACATCTGTAACTCAGGCCCTGAGTTACTCTGACCTGTGAGGCTTCTGTAAGAGGCCAGCGTGCCCCGTTTTGGGCAACTCAAAGCTTTGTGCGTGCTGTAGGCTTGGTTGGTGACAGTTACCTAGCATGTGAGGTGCAGTCTTGTTGTCGATGGCAAACCATGATGATTTGGCAGATGTTTTAAGAGGAGCATCTGGATAAGGGCTAAAGCATGAAACAGTGCAGCAGAGCAGCACTTGGCTGGTCCTTTTGGGACAGAGAAGGGGAAAGAATGGGCAAATTACTATAGATATTTTGATATATGGCAGAAGCTGTGATTTAGGAAACTATGATTTTTCTGTGCAAGTCCAATCTGACTGCTTGGAAACAGTAGCTGTAGTTCCGGGGTTCCATTTTTGTGGGCGATGTTGCTCTTTGGGAGGCTCTGTTTCTTCTCCTGCCTTGTGGAGAGCTGTGTGAACTTGGTAGAAAAATCAGATCACAAAAAATCTCACCCTGGTGATCCAAGTGCTGCTAGAGGTTTTGAAACTCTTTTTCCCTACCTTCCCTCTGCACCCGCACCCGCCAAATCAATTCCCCAACAAAAAAATATATTGGTAAGTGTGCCTTTCTTCCAAAAGTGATGGACACTCTCCATGCCAGTTTCTGTGAAAGCAAGACTCTTCACATGGCTAAGCCCAAGTTCAAGCATTTGTTTTTTAACTTCCATAGTTTTTAATGGAGCTACCTACTTTCTTCATGCTGAACGAATATTCAGATGTTTCAGTGAGTTTGAGATGAGACACCAATGAAACTCTTGATTGTGCAAAAATAAGCAAACTTCAGGTGTAGGATGTGCTTGGTTTGCTTGATCCATGCCTGGTAAGTCCGTGTACGCGTTACAGGACAGATCATCTGGGAATAGATAGAAGGTGAGGCTTGTCCTGTTGTAGAGTGATCTCTGTGTTGTCTGGACCTGCAACTCATAAGTGACATTCAGTTTCACTGTTTTACCCTTGTAAATATTTACATTTTCAAGCCCTTCTAAAAGCAAACTAAAAATCCTCATTGCAATTAATTTAAGAAACAGCACTTTTAATCACTCAGATTTATAATTATATATTAGTCATAAGGAAGTAAAGTGAGACTGAATGATAGCCTTTCCATCAATCCCCACATCCAACAAATGTAATTGTAAAATACAAAATTTGGTCTTTTTTTAATGAATTTGAATGTCTTCTCTTCTCCTTTCCTTGCTTATGAACTTCTTCAGTAAGTGACATGTACTTGTGATAATAGTGCTTACAAATTTTCCTAGATTTCCTTTGCTAATAGTGGACCTAGTGTGATGTTTTCATCTAATTTGAATACTTACTCTCTGTAGTCTCTTCCTGACCATTCCCCCTAACCACGTCTCCAATGCTGTGACAGAGGTCTCCCAAAGCCTTGTTTATTCTTGCAATTTACATATGGAAATCTAAGTGTTTTGGCTTTCTACCTTAAGATTCCTTCCTGAAAGCCATTGATTCTCAGCAGTCCCATATTAGTAGAAGTAGAAACTCTGTTCAGAATTACTGTAGTTATTGATTCTAGGAGGAGAAGAGATAAAAGGAAATACTGCTGAGCTTCTGGCTCATCGCTGGTGTTAGAGGATTTTTGACCACAGATAAGGATCTTAGGAAGTGGATTTTGTATATATTTCTTACACGGAATGTTACAGCTTTTTTTCTTCATTTCCTCTTTAGGTGGATTTTCAAGATGTGCATGCCAGAACCGTGGCTGAAAGGAAGAGGGAAGAGGAGAAGCAAAAACGATTGGATAACATTTACAAAGAAAAAGCCAAAAGAGCTGAAAAAGAAATGGAAGGTGAGTTGCTTTGTTTCTTTTGGGTTGTTTGGGTGTTGTTTTTTTTGGGTTTTTTTTTTTTTAAAGCAATCTTTTTTAAGGTTTTATAAAACAAATTCTGAGAGAATAGCTGACCACAGAGGGTGGGAATAATAACGTTTGTTGGAGCTGGCTCTCACCCACAGAATACCAGGGGAAACAAGTAACAGTCTTGTGAGCCCAGGTAGCATGAAAATATTAAAAAAAAAAAAAAAAAGAAAAAAACAAGTTAGCAAGGTCTGGTCTGTAATTCAGTAAAATATGAATGCATAACCTCAAGAAAGCATATTGTGAGACTTCTTGGGGCTAGTGTCTTCATTTCTGTGTCTGTGACTAGGCACAGACTTCTCAATACCTTGTTGGCTGATGACCTTAGTGATATTATATATACAGTCATCATGTTTCAGAAGTAGAGGCCATGGTCTGCACAGGAACCCTGGATGCAGTGTAGGGTATCTGTGAAAAGTATGCTGCTGCTACAAAATGTGTCTTAACTTGGGGCTGAGTCTCTAAGTCTTATGTACGTAGCAAACCTCTTTCTGTAATACTGAAAGAAGAACAGAGATAGTAAGTCTGGTATGTTGCAGTTACAAAGGGTTATTTAATTAAATTACTTTGGCATATGCAATGCATCCAGTTGTGCCTGCATTTATTCTGCATGTGGGAAACCTTTTCATTCACAAGGGTTGAATATTAAAGAGATTTAACCTTCCTAAAGTCACTCTTATTGGTTACATCTTGTTCATCAATAGCATATATATATGGCTACACCTACAAGCAACTGTAGCATTCATGTCTGTAGAATGAATACTCAGCAACATCACTGAGAACATCCTCATTGAACCTTGTTCTCCTTCAAATTCTATGAAGTATTTGTGCCATCTTTCCATAGTAAATTTTTTAGAGAGGATGGATGTGGCAGTTTGACCCTGGCTGGAGGGCAGGTGCCCACCAAAACTGCTCTATCACTCCCCTCCTCAGCTGGGCAGGGGAAAGAGGATACAATGAAAACACGGTGGGTTAAGATAAGGACAGGGAAGGATCACTCACCAATTACTATCACAGGCAAAACACACTCAACTTGGGCAAAATTAGTTTACTTTATTAGCAATAATGTCAGAGTAGGGTAATGAGAACTAAAACCAAATCTTAAAAAGCCCTTTCCCCCACCCCTCCCTTCTTCCCAGGCTCAGCTTTGCTTCCAATTTCTCTACCTCCTCCCCTCTGGCTGTGCAGAGGGATGAGGAATGGCCAGTGGTGGCCATAATTGGCCCTGACAGACACAGGGGAAGCTTTTGGCAGTTTCTCACAGAAGCCACTTCTGTAGACCCTTTCTACCAAAATTTTGACATGCAAACCCAATACAATAGGAAAAGGAGTAACATGGATTTTCAGATTCCTTGCCCAGGAAGTCCTAGATTTCATGCTTAAGAAAATTACTGTCACATTTATAAAGACAATTTCTGCAGTGGAAAGAGATCTCTGTGGATAAATTACCACTTATAACTGGACAATGGATTATCCCTTTGGCACTTGCATCTTTTCTTGTAAATCTGTGTCTGCTCTGGAAACATTAGCATTTTACAGTGTTTAATGATATCCTAAAACAACTCGCTCTTGACAGAAATGTCCCAAGAGGTTACTGACACGTTGACAGAGATGGAAAACTGTTTCCAGCTCCTGATGCCGGATCCTTTCGACTTCACTGTGAATGACACGGAACTGGAACCCAACAAACAAACGACTGCTAATGAGTATAGACCTGCACCCCCCTTGTCCTCCCAGGTGGAAGTTAACCAGGCCTGTGTTGGATGCCCGGATGATGAACAGCCATGCTGCAGCAAGGACGTTCTTTCAGTTTCTCAGTGTGTTAGAACTGAGGAAAACGAAGAGTTAGATGAGCAATGGGAGGAGCCTGAGGAGAAAGAATTAGATGGAGGAACAAGCTTGGAAGTTCAGTCTGGTGTCCCTGCTCTCAACGATGATGATTACCAGACTTTTGTTAGGAACCATGGGCTTATTTCACATAGGTATACTCTAGACCTTGAAATCTCCACAGGTACCTGGAACTTTTTTTCACATATAGCTGGAGACAGTCTTTGTCTCAAGTGCTTTGTAGTTGTTTGGGGTTGTTTGGTGGTGGTTGGTGTTTGGTTTTTGGGGTTTTTTTTTTCTATCTCCTAAATGCTTGAGGTTCCTGGACACCATTTATTTTGGAGTTCTTTTTTGTTTCTGGTTCATCTAGTAATCATTCTTAGGTTTGAGTGTTCTTGTATGTGATTTTACAGACTTTAGTAATTACCTTCTAAGATTAAACCTTTTTATTGGTTGGTGTAACCATATTGCAGCACTTCGTAGTACCCGAGTAAGATGAGTTTCCAGTGTTTAAAGAAAATATCACAATCTGTTTATAGGATATAATTTTACTTTCTGTGTACTTCATGATCCACCTCTTTCCTTTCCCTTTATAGCTGGGGTGTAAGCTGCTAATTTAAAAATTGTACAGTTGGCTGTTTAATAAACATTTTTTCCTTGCTACTGACAACTTGCAAGAAGCAATAAGAAGTCGTAAGGGTTATGATTAGCAAAGTTCATATTAAAAACGTATAATATGAATTACCCCTAGAAAAATTAGGATGGTTTGTGTTTTCGTAGTCTAAGTGAAGTCTCTTACAAATACTGTCCTAATGGAATTTGCAGTGCAAACAACCAGTAAGACAGGTATCTACTTCTGTGCTTACAGAGAACAGAATTAGAAGTGTATCTGTGGGGCTTATGAATGACTAACAGGTGAAAACCACTGTTTTTGCCCAAATAGTGGCATATTTATTTATATTTATATTTATTTATATTAGAGCCTGTAGTGACAGGACAAGGGGTAACGGGTTTAAATTGAAAGTGGGGAGGTTTAGATTAGATATCAGGAAGAAATTCTTGACAGAGAGGGTGGTGAAGCACTGGAACAGGTTGCCCAGAGAAGCTGTGGATGCCCCATCCCTGGAAGTGTTCAAGGCCAGGCTGGATGAGGCTTTGAGCAACCTGGTCTAGTGGAAGGTGTCCCTGCCCATGGCAGGGGGTTTGGAACTAGATGGTCTTTAAGGTCCCTTCCAACCCAAATTATTCTGTGATTCTATGATTTGGATTCTTTGCCAATCGAGTCCCTGTTGTCACTGGGGCAGGTATTTTTTTCTTTCTATCAAATATGCAGAAACTGGTACAATAAGGCCCAGTCCATGGACTAGAACTTAGGACAAGATGTAATGTAAATAGTTAGACTGCACTTGTCTGTGGTTTATTTAGTGGTGACTCAGTAGTGATGGCCTAACAACTGTCATCACTGTACTGAAAGCTTTTCCTCTGATTTTTTTGAATGTGTGGATAGTGGTAGAATAGTTAGTACTGAACAGAGAAACATTCTGATGTTTATAACTTCCCCTGTAGTGATAAGATATTTCAGAAAGGTTCATGTTTCCTTCTTCCCCTCAGCTTCTTTAGCTCCTGTAGTGAAGGTACTATAACATCATTCAATAACTCTTCCCTCCCTCCCCCCCCCCTCCTGTTTTGAGCAGATATAAAAGTGCATGAGAATGACGATAATACTGCCATAATAAACAGTGTCATGGATGCTCACAAACTCCTCAGAAATAAGTTCTGGCCCTCTGTGCAGTCCTGGATTCAGGTAGGGTGAAGAGACAATTTTTTCATTCTTCTATAAAAAGGTAGAGAAGCAAGGACTAGGGTACAGTAAATCCTGAGGGAGAGTGAGGAAAAAGGAAATTAAGGTTGAAGAAACATTGGTACAAATAGAAAAGATTTCTGGTTCAGTAGGAATGGACAAAAGGAGACTACAGGAGCTACTTAACTTGTTTGGTGGCTCTCAGCATTAGGTATAACACCTACAGCCATTCTTTCTTTTTTATGATATAGTAAAATGGGGCTTCTTTGCAAAGGGTAAAGTAAAACACAGCTTGTTTTTGTCAGACATGCCTGTATCAGAAAAACAGTATGCCCTTTCTGTCAGTTGATATTACTGCTCAGGAGGGAATTTGGCCTATAGAAGGACACTCTCAGGAGATGTTCATACCAGCTGTTCATTCTTTCTTTGCCTGTAGTATTTGCTATTAGCTTTTATATCCTAGATAGGAAAAGAAGTGGCTTCACGAATTGTTACTTGTAAAATAATGGGATTTGTGACAATGTTGTGTCTTCAGTTATGAATGAAAACTGAAGATATTTTTTGGCTCGATGTCTAGAAAAAAGAATAAGAATGTTGATTTTTGCTTTGCAGTTATTTACCAGAGCAGGAATAAATGATGATCGGCTAAGATGTGCCATTGATCTCAAGAATAAATTGGAGACTGCTATGAAGAAATACAAGGAAATGAACATTTCTTTTAAAGAGAGAGGACAAATGGTGAGTTTCTTAAAATGCTGTATTACTAGAGAGGGCAATTAGTAATGCTTAGCTTCTATTAAAAAAATGCACTTTGTCTTAAGCCTTAATGTGGAGAATTTTCCAACACAAGTTTTATAGTACGCTAATCCAAGTTTTAGTACACTAATTCAGCTGGTTGTCACTTCACTCGAAGAAGTTTCACTGAACAACTGTATAGTATGCCAGGCGCCTGCTAGATAAAACCATGTAAGGCATTACTGTTGTTGTTTAGGATAGGGAAGTGGTTAAGTTCAGATATTTTACTCTTAGTTTCTTCCTATGTAACACTGGTACGTCCTCAGTTTCTTTTCTGCATGCTTCTCAGTAAACACTATTATTCACGTGCTTTTACAACTCGCCAAACTACGCTAATGTCTCTGCTTTGGAACATTTACTCTCCCTAGTGAGCATGTAATGTGATTGAGGATATCTCAAAAGAATTTGTTATGTGAAGCTTTGAAGTGTTAAAATATTTCACAGATACTAGCTACCTATGACAGTTTTTGTGAAATAGGCAAAAATTGTGAGTAAACAGATACTGAAAGATCAAATACTTTATTCAGATCCCAAAAGAAGCCTGTGGCTTGTTTATGTAGCTAAAAAGCAGAGCTGTGTAATACTCATTTCTGTTGGTGTGATCAGTCAAAATGACTGTACAGCTTGACTTGAAAGTAAGTGCTTGGGTCAGCGTCCAGAGTAAAGTCAGGTTTATGAATGGATGTAAGAGTTTGATCCAGATATTACACCTTGGATTAAATTGTGGTAGCCTCATTTAACCATGAGTGAGTGTTGTAGACTTGGATTTCATTGTGCAAATGAAGATTTATCAGGATTAATCTAGTTCATCACCCTAATACCTACAGATGTACCACACCAGTCAAAAATGCCAACTATGAATGAAAAGTACTGAAAGACTGTCTTGTCAGAGGTTTTTTTTTCCCCAGTGAAATATGTGTGCTACCTTTTATGCAACCAGCTATGAAGGAATCCAGACATCTGCTGTCATTCCTGCCATTTGCTTGACAGGACTTCATTTGCTGCAACTCTGCATGGAATATTGGTTGCTATATTTCTTGCAAGGTATAAAGGACATTCAAGCCTTGATTTTCGTGTGTGTGTATGTGTTTAAAGTGGTACTGTTACCACTTCTGGAGATTGATCAGTGCTATCTAGGTAAGGTTTGAATGCTAATAAATTCCATTCTTAAAAGGGGAAAAAAAAAAAAAAAGGAAAATACGTAGCAGTTCTCACAATGAATACATTCAAATGAAGCAGTGCAGGTTGAGGTATTAAGTTAAGCATTGAAAGCAATATGTAATTATTCCTATGTTTTTTCTCCAGTGGAAAATACCCAAATTTAGTGTTAGTGCTGAGTTACTTTAAATTTATAATCTGAACACAGAGTGCTTTGTACTGCAGAAGGAAACTGTGTACATTGTCTTTTATTCACGTGTCAAATGACTCAGTTGAAATGTAAAAACACAGTAAAATGTGTGTGATAGAGCAAAATAAACAGCATCTCTTAGACTGGGATTATTAAATCCCCATGTGTCAGTTAATTAATTCAGCATTGCTGTTTGCACTGGGTATTGTTGCGGTTTGTACATCCGTGTGTCATTAGAACTGCAGCTCTTGTCGTGCTGAAGTTTTGGTATCTGCTGTGGTTTTAGATCCAAGAGGAGTAGTACTGACAGTCTGTCCTTCAGAGCACTGAGTCCCGACAGAACTCAGTGTGTTATGCATGTTATCTGTTTGCACGTGGAGTCAGCAAGTGCTGTTACCTGCTCATGTGTGGAGATGAGCACACTTAGAAATGAAGGGCAGTGTGTAGTAAGCAGGGTGTATGGAGTGTATGAGTGTGGAGGGTCCTGTGTAAACTGCCTCGTGTAAACTGCTCGTAGTTGATCTGTGACATCCCTCCATTTGGGTGTGATAGCAGTTTTCCTGGCAACTGCTGACTGCAATCTGAGGTACATATATTGTTAGTTGGAGAACGCAATGTGGTTGTGTACACAATTGTTTGTGTACTTGCTCATTTCAAGTGTAGTTATGATCCTGCACCAGACATCCAGGGAGAAATTGGTTTTATTTTATCAGCAAATATAAAACAGAATAATAGGGACTTGGAAACTTGGCTGCAGCCTTGGGCTTGCCCAGTCTTCTCAGACTTTCTGGTTTTTCTTTGTGCTCATTCTCTGTGCTTCTGTCTCTCATTTCCCGCTTTTTCATCTATTCTGTTCTGTCTGGGGATGGGAGCAGTAAAGTCTTTACCCATCCTCAAAATGAGATCAAGGAAGTTGATAAAGGGAAGGGTTTAGTGAGAGGCAGTGAAACTGGAGATTTATTACTGTACTTCTCAATCCCACAGAGTTTTAAATTGCCAATCAAAGTAGGGAGGGTGCAGGAGTCCCTTACCATCGTCACATGTCATTGGTACTCTTGTTTAGCTGAGTAGCTATACATCCTCAAGGCTGAGATGCACATAAATCATATGTATTTGGAGTGATTCTTGATGCTACAGTTCAACATGACTGTGCCAGCAACGTAGCTGGGTGGGAATTACACCGAGAGGAAGAAGTTGGTGCTTACCTGCCCTTCTTTCACAGAGGAATCGTTTGATTGGTGCAGGAAGGTGTCTGCTTTTGGCAAGCCTCATGATTACCTCCGTGCTTTTCATTGTTTCTTGCTCCATTTTCCAGATCACGGAGCACTAGCCAGCAAGGCAGCATCCTTAGGCAATTGGAATATGTTAGAAAATCAGCACAAATTATTTTCTCTGAAGTTTGCTGTTATCTTTACACAAAAATGTAATAGTTGTGGATGCCCCATCCCTGGAAGTGTTCAAGACCAGGCTGGATGAGGCTTTGAGCAACCTGGTCTAGTGGAAGGTGTCCCTGCCCATGGCAGGCGGGTTGGAACTAGATGGTCTTTAAGGCCCCTTCCAGCCCAAACCAGTCTGTGATTCTATGAAAAGCCCCCCTGCTTTGCAAACTACAGGAGAACTCTTATACGAAGTCAGTTGAAAGAAAGCACAGAACTTTATACAGTGAAACACTTTGAATTAAAATGGTTTATAGTGACATGACATATAACCATCTCTTTTCCTTTATGATAGTGGAGAATTCGAGCCATCAGAAAGCCTTAATGATAAGGTGGGCCATCATTTTTACGTAACACTTGAACCCTGCCAACACAAGTAGGCCATGGCACCATTCTGCACTACCCCTCTGGAGCTGTGGGAGGACAGGGAGAAGAACAACAAAGGTTATCCTTGGACTATCTAGAAACAAATGCCTTGCAGCAGATTTTATAAATGTTAATACATCCCAGCAGCCCAGATTATGCATTACTTCTTCCCATTGCTGCACCCCAGCGCATCAGCAGTTGTCAAGACATTTCTTCCTGAGCTGTTGTTTTTTCAAAGGGGTGAGGGATGGACAAAAAAATGACAGTCTTACTGTGTTGGACAACGGCAAATGAGTACTTGTGTGCTTGCACGAGTCACTTTCACTATAGTTAAATACTTGTTTGGGCATCAGTTTCTGATAGGAAATGTATTCTGAGAGTATAAACAAGAGGTTTGAAATCCCTTTTTCTGTGAATCTGAATTTTAGCTGCACA